TGTGTGTGTGTGTGTGTGTGTGTGTGTGCAGTGAGAACACCTAATATCTACCCTCTTAGCAAATTTCAAGTACACAATACAGTATTATCAACTATAGTCATCATGCTATACACAAGATCTCTAAAACTGACTTAACTTACATAACTGAAACTTTGTTCTCCATTTCTCCCACCCTCCACCCCTGGTAACCACCATTCTAGTCTGTGTTTCTATGAATTTAACTGTTTCAGATTCATATATAAGTGAGGTCATACAGTATTTGTCTTTTTGTCTGGCTTATTTCACTTAGTGTAATGTCCTCCAGGTTCATTTATGTTGTTGCAAATAGCAAGATTTTCTTCCTTTTTTTAGGCTGAATAGTATATTCAATTATGTGTGCATGTGCATATGTGTGTGTATATATATGTACACATACAACTCTCTCTCTCTCTCTCTCTCTTACGCACACACATTTTTATTACCATTCATCTGTTGATAGACATTTAGGTTGTTTCCAATTCTTGGCTATTTCAAATAATGCTGCAATGAACATGGAAGTCAAGATGCCTTTTTTAGATATTGATTTCATTTTTGTTAGATGTATACTCAGAAGTGTTTTCCATAATGGCTGTACCAATTCCCACCAACGGTGTACGTGGGTTCCTCTTTTTCTCCTTGCTTGCTAACACTTGCTATCTTTTGTCTTTTTGATAATAGTCATCCTGAAAGGTGTGATATGATAGCTCATTGTGGTTTTAATCTGCACTTCCCTGATGACTAATGATGTTTGAGCACCTTTTCATACACCTGTTGGCTGTTTGTATGCCATCTTTTGACGTCCTGGGTCCATTTTTAAATAGCAATATAGGATTTTGTTTGGTTTTTGGTTTTTTGCTTTTGGATTTCATTGTTTTGCTTGGGTTTCATTGTTTTTTGTATTGAGTTGTGTGAGTTCCTTTCATATTTTGAATATTAAAACCTTATCAAATATTTGGTTTGCAAATATTTTCTCCCAGTCTGTGGGCTGCCTTTTCATTTTGTTGTTTCTTTTACAGTGTCTGCAATCCCATTCATCTATTTTTGCTTCTGTTTCCTATGCTTTTGGGATCATATCCAAAAAGATCATTGCCTAGACCAATGTTAAAAGGCTTCTTTCCTATATTTGATTGGACAATTTAATCTATTTTCATTCAAGATATTGATAGGTAAGGACTTAAAATGGTATTTTGTTAATTATTTTCTAGTTGTTTTATAGATCCTTTCTTCCTTTCTTCTCTTTCTGTATTACTTTTTGTGGTTAAGTGATTTTCTCTAGTAGTATGATTTGATTCTTTGCTTTTTATTTTTTGTGTGTCTATTAGAGGTTTTTGCTTTGTGGTTACCGTGGGGCTTACAAAAGCATCTGATAATTATGATAGGTTACTTTAAACTGATAACAAATTAACTTTTATTTCAAAAAAACCCCAAAACTCTACAATTAACTGGTTTCCTCTCCTACAATTTTAATTTTTGATGTCATAATTAATATATTTTTGTATTGCATGTGCCTTAACAAATTATCGTGGTTATTATTATTTGCAATAGTTTTTATTAACCTTCATGTTAAAGATAAAAGTAATTTACACACCACTATTACAGTATTACAGTATTCTTTTTCTATATATTTCATGTCTTTAAGTCCACATATTATATTTATAACAAATAAATTGAAACAAAACTTAAAAAGCACATGAATACCATTTTATAAGGGAAAGGTAGCTTGTTTTTACCTATTCCTTGCCAGACTCTGTCCTTGACAAAGATAATTTTTGTCCTGAAGAGGGATAGTTCTTTTGATTAAAAACAAATTCAATACTCAAAGCAAACCTTTTTCTGTTACGTTAATAAGAAATCTCTGCTTCTGAGCTATATTTAAGAGGCACAAATACCTAGGCAATACTAGAGAAACAATCAACATAAAATATTCTAACATAGGAAATATTGAGTGAAATCATTCAAAATATTTTCCTGTGACTGAACTTTGTTTCATTACTCTAGACTGAACTGTCAT